CAAATGAACAGGGGCCACCTCCTCCCGCGAAAGTTGTTTCCCTAACCCCGAGAACAGGACGCCTTGTCTAACAGGGTTTGCCTAACTCCCCCACGGCCCTCCTCTGACCCGGGGATGACCTCCATCTTGGGTCAGCCCTTCTGTTCTGGGAGACTGGTTCAGGCCTCCTCCTCACCCTGTGGAATCCCAACCATGGGCAGCCATGCATCTCCACCAGAACCATGACTCCACACAGTGGGAAAATGGGTAACTGGCCCTCCCCAAGTTCACATCTAGACTCAGCTCAGTGCTAAGTGATGTCTGGCGGAATCAGGAAGAGCAGGTGCTGGATGTGTCAGAGTCCAAGCAAGGAGGTGTCCGGCCACATCAACACTCTGTCCCGTCCTGTGGCCATCCCCTCCCCGTCCCCATTCTTGTCCCACCTTTGACTTGGAGCTGTGCAGATTCCAAAGCCAGCCACATTTGGGAATGGTGGGCAGGGGAAGCAACAGCATGGGGAGCCTCAGGGCTGTTAGAACAGTGGAGGGAGGGAAGCGTGGAGTTGCCACAGACTCCAACTTTATGTTGGAGTGCCAACTCTTTACCCCATGTACCCATCTACTACCTCTGCTGCCTTTTTAAGAGTACTGGGCCTTCCCACCATTACCTGGCTTCGTGGTGTTTAATAGGGTCAGGGGCTCTTTGAATCAGAAAAGGCCTCTCTTCCATATCTATCCTTGGTGGATGACTCAGGAGAACTCAAGCCAGTCACGGGGAAACCAGGTGAGCCATGGCTCCTGTTACCCCTGGGAGAGGCTGAGGCTGACACACCACCAGCGGGGTAAGGGCAGGAAGGCCAGCATTGCCATGCCCCGTGCCATGCTATACTCTTCAGCTCTTGTGATACGTGGCTGTTTAGTCCTTTCTCCGTGATTTCCAAATCACTGGTGGCCTTTGGCAAGCAGTGAGGCATCATGGGTAGGGTTGTCCTGTGAATTCTATAGCATGTGGCACCTTTGGCCCACTATCCACTTCATGCCAGCATCACCTCCTGTGAGAAGACAGATTCTGTCTGTTGACAACTGTATCCCCCACCTGACATACAATGCTCTCTGTGAACACCATCTCCCAGCCTTCCAGAGACTAGAACTGGCTCCATAATTTACATACGCACTTGTACCATACAGCCTCCTGATGGACGATGCTAACCCCTGACCTAACCACTTCTCAGTACCAGGAGCTGATGACCGCAGAGGTAGATCGTTATTCACAGAAGCTCCCCTGGTGCTCTTCTCGGCCTTCAGATCATTGATTAACATGTCGTGTATGGTCTGACACAGAGTGGAACTGTGTGTGGACTGATCCTGAAGCACGATGGACTTATCTCCAACCCTGGGTAGATAATCTACCCCAGGGTTTACTTTTCACCCTTGTGTTTGTTGATCTATGGTCAGCTGAGACCAAGGACTCTCCCCTCTGTCCTATACTAGCTTTTTCATTTTTCCTTTTCAAAGTAAGTAAGTAAGTGTGTGTGTGTGTGTGTGCGCGCGCGCGCACGTGTTTAGCGGTATATGAGTGTACATGGAGAGGCCAGAGGCCTGTGTAGAGTGTCTTCGCTGTCTCTGCCTCATTGTTTGAGACAAGGTCATTCAGGGGACCTGGAGCGCACTGTTTCAGCTAGACTGGAAGAAGCCCTCACCTACCCACCTCCATGGATGCACACCTGACTCCTTGTCCTGCTTCCAGCGCTGTGGTTATAGATGCATACAACCCCACTCAGCTTTTAAGCGGGTGCTGGAAACCTGAACTCAGGTTTTGGCAAACTGTTCTCACTGAACCGTCTCTCCAGCCCCCTCTGATTCAAAGTGCAAAGATTTGAAAATTGATGATACTCATTTTATATTGATTCTGACCATGTTTTCCTGTTGAGTTTATTGCGGTCTTCTTCTCTTTCTGCACCAGTTCTTATTTTTGCATCTTCTGCCCAAGGGAGTGGTTGTTGATCTAACTGCACTGAGTAAATGAAAGGAACCATTGTAGAGGGCCGGGCCTTGGGCATGGCCGTGGATATCTCTATCTGGATTGGTGATGAGAGCACTGTTTAGGGATGTTTAGCTGCCTTTGAAAGGACCTGAATACTGTGCCGATCTCAAGTTCGCATTATTGAGGGTGACTGCAGGCCCCCTTTGCTGGATCTGAGTTTGAGTGCTTTCCATATGACATTGAGGCTCTGCAGCCCTTCAATGAAGAAAACGTACTAATTCCAATTGTTTGGGGCTCCCGGAAGTTTTCAGGAGTAAAGAGTTGATGGTGCACGCCTGTAAGCCCAACACTCAGGAGACTAAAGCAGGAAAATTGAGTTTGAGACCAGCCTGGGCTTCATAGAGAGACTGTTTCAAAACAGAATATCTGGAGTTTACTCTTTTTCCTTTTGTAAGCACACAGGCAACTTGGCTCTGACATCTTTCTTGTTCCCCAGGATTTCAGTGGGAATGATTAGAGGTGGTAACCCATTGCCATTTTAGATCCAAATCAAAGGCATTCTTCTACTTACTGATTTGTTTTGGTTTTTTGTTTGTTTGAGGCAGGGTCTCATCGTGTAACTAACTGGCCTGAAACTTGCTATATAGATCAGGCTGGTCTCAAACTCTGATCCATCTCCCTCTATTTTCTGAGTGCTGGGATTAAAGCCATGGACCACCACACCCTGCCTATTATTTATTTCTCTAAATTACATTTTTATGAGTTTTATTACATGTATGTGTGTGCATTTGGGTATGTGCAAATGCATGAAGGTGCCACTGGAAGCCAAAAAACACTGGTTCTCCCTGAATGTGTTGTTACAGGCAATTGTGAGCAGCCCAGTGCGGGGGCTGGTAATCAAGCCTCTGAGCCATCCCTCGAGCTCCTTGCTTATTTATTTTTGAGACAGAGCCTTGACCAGAGGCTGGCTTTAAACTCCCTGTTTCCACCTTCCAAGTGCTGGGATTGCAAGTGTGCCATCTGGGTCTCACACAAGCTAGGTGAGCACTCTACAGTGAGCCACATCCTCACTCTTGCATACTCTATCTGCTTGGTTTCAAGCTGTCTGGTTTAAGATTTCTATCTAAGATAACAGGTGGGGGCTGGAATGGTTCTGCCTTTTCTCCCATCTGTTTAATGTCAACACGGGACTCTAGAATTCCCTCATTCATTCTCTTGCTCCAGATAGAGACTTTTAAAGGCTAAAGTGTGTTTTGGTACCAGAGCTATCCTAGCAGGTGTGAGACCTGGGTTCAATCCCCCAGAATTGAAGAGCAAACCTGTTTGGATGGTCCTACAGGTCTGTTAGCATCTAAGATGCTCTTATGCTTAGTTGCATAGACCCCTGAGCGCCTTGGAGAATGTCAGTGTGAGATCCCCTGTTTTCCATGTCTCCTGGTCTTGGGAATGACAGTGGGAGGTAGAGCAGCAAGCGGCCTGTGGTCTGATGGGGTGTCGGGCAGGCATGTCATCATGGAAAATTCTTCGCCGAGTACGCAGATCCATTTACACAGCCTCTGCTGCCTCTGCAAACTGTGCATTCCTTTGGAACCATCCATGCGTTCCCTTCTTCCCTCCAAACCTCAGTCATGCTTCGGGTGGCTTAGAAATGATGGTTTCTCCACCTCTCCTTTGTTTCCATCCCTCACTCTGTTCCCTGCTGTCCTTGGCTTGGATTTAATAGGAAATTTGGCTGAATTTCTGGTCTCTAGTCTGATGGGTCACCCTGGGGCTGACCTTGAATGACAGAACTTGAACACACACACACACACACACACACACACACACACACACACACATATTTAGGGCCTCCTATGGGCTCTTCAGTGCAGGATGTGGCAGCTGATACAGCTCCATTGAGTGGTGGGCAGAGCTGAAGTTTGGAGTGAGGCAGGTATGTGGAACCAGGTTTGGTACTCCTCGGGAATTCCTGGAGTAGATGATGCCTGCCCTGGGGCCTCCTACCTGTTGTATTTTGATCATGTTGAAGTGTACTCACCACCTGTTTGTCTGTCCCTGCACCAACAGCTGCTTAGCCCAGGACAGGAAGAAGAAAAGGTCCAGAGAAGGGGGCCTGTCAGAAGGAGGGCACGTGAGCATTCTCAGGGTGGGGAAAGGATGCTTAGCTGGTTTACCTATTCTCAAGGACAAGGAGGTGTATCCTTGTCCTCAAGAAGATACTGAGCTGAACTCAGTGGCCCTCCACAGGGAAAATGGAGTTTCTCTCTCGTTCCTTCCTAGGCCAGAGAGGACTTAACTGCATTGCCTCTGCCTCTCAGAGAGGTGTAACAATCACATAGCTCTTGGAGTTCAGTCCCTAGACCAGCACTACCTGGGAACCATTTGGAAAAGCCCTCTTCCCAGCAGCCTGTGGTACAAGCTTTCTCAGCCCTGTGGGTGATTTGGGAACATGTTTCTGTCAAATTTTGGAATCAGGTGCCTGGTTCCTATCCCTCCGTAGCTATGTGGACCTGGATAGACCGTTCAGCTTCCCTGGTTCTCTTTTTAAAATGTTTCAGCTGTATAATAAAGACTCTGCTAGTCACCTTGATATTATAACAGTTAAATGAAGATGCTCTGAGGTGTGTCGTTGGTGGTGGTGGTGGTTGGGGCCAGGGTCTCAGATAGCCCAGGCTAGCTTCAAAGGATGATCTTGACCCTGATCATTCCTTTTTAGTTTTTTAAGATAGGGTCTCTGTGTAGCCCTGGCTGTGCTAGAACTCACTCTGTAGACCAGGCTGACCCCGAACCCAGAGATCTGCCTGCCTCTGCCTCCTGAGAGCTGGGATTAAAGGTGTCACCACCACTGCCTGGCTCCTCCTGCCCCCTCTTCAGTGTTGGTATTATAAGCGTGTGCCACGAAGCCAGGTTTATGCTGTGCTGGGAACAGAGCTCAGACTATATATGCATGCCAGGCAAGGGGGACATTACCACTGAGCTACATCTCTGTCACCCAGAAATTGTCTCAGCCCTGACCTTCCCTCTGGTTCTCTTTTTAGGTGGTGTCTGTTGCAGCAGATCAGGGTGTGGCCATTACAGGGAACCAGACTTTCAACAACTGGAACTGGCCTAATGCAATGATTTTCGCAGCCACGGTCATCACTACCATTGGTGAGTCTCCTTAGACCTCCAGTGTACCCACATCCACATCCTCACACCTCAAAACTTTGTAGGACTCAAGCTTTGGTGACCGAAGCCACGTTGCTAAGAAGTCACATACACAGTTTTACCCTGGCCTTCTTCCAATTAGATCCTGATTTGGACTCTTTATTTTTATTATTTCTGCATATGTATGTGTATGTAGTATATGCATTCGTTTGTATTTGCGTGGGCACACGTGTGTGTGTGTGGATGCCTGGGGGGGGGGAGTGTCCAAGGTTGAATCTTGCCTTCTTTGATTGCTCTCTACTTTATATACTGAGGCATGGTCTCTACCAAACCAGAAGTTCACCATATTGGCTAGTCCAGCTAGTAAATTTGCTCCAGGGATCCCATGTCTTTTGCCACCTGTGTGCTGGAGAAGCAGGCACTACACCCACCTAGCCTTTACATGGATTCCAAGATTCTGAATTCCAATTGGACTCAGAAATATTGGCATGGTCTGATGGCTAGCGCCACACAGGTTAGATAGACTGCTCACTGCCCAAAGCTCCAATATTCTCTGGCTACGTGGTTGGCCACTCTAGAAGTCAGTGGCTGAAAGCAGTTACTGCCTTCTACCTTTTGAGGATTGGCTAGGTTTAGCGGACAGTTCTTGTGTGGGCTCTCCATCTCCAGCATATGGTAACCAAATAGTGGCTGCCCCATTGGCCTGGAGTCCAGGCTGGCTCTTCCCACCTACTGCTTGACCGTTGGTGCTGACAGTTGCCTGAGGTTGAAAGCACAGGGCCTCTGCATGTGGTGTGGCTCTGCAGCCGGGCTCTGAGAAGCAAGAGTCTCAAGTGCATGAAGGCAGGGAGTAGCCCTGGGCTTTTCCAGCCTCACCTGCCTGTATCATTTCTGCCCCTCTGGCCAACCAAGTCACTGATACTCAAATTCAAAGACCCTGCCTTGACATAGCATTTGCATAATGGCAGGGGAATTAGGAGTCTATTTTCCATACTACTTCTGGGTATCTACTCATTGGGGGCGGGGCATCACTGTCTCATTTGCATAACAATGCCAAATGAACCTCGGGAGTGCCTCATGAGGGTGGACCTAGTGCCTACCCACAGGGACCTCTCAAAATAATGGAGAGGTCAGCCCTTACTGTAGAAATAGTTGTATAAATGACCAGGGTCAGAGCATGACCAAGGGAACTATTTTATATGTGTGTGTGTTTGCTTGCTTGCACACACTACGCAAGAGACAAGAACCCAGTTGTGGTTCTATAACCTTGGCTATGAGGTGTCCCTTGCTTCACTCTTTATCTTCCCTCAGGTTATGGCAATGTGGCTCCCAAGACCCCAGCTGGGCGCCTCTTCTGTGTCTTCTATGGTCTGTTCGGGGTGCCACTATGCCTGACGTGGATCAGCGCCCTGGGCAAGTTCTTCGGGGGACGTGCCAAGAGGCTGGGCCAGTTTCTCACCAGGAGAGGAGTGAGCCTGGTATGTCCCAAACCCTAGATACAGAGTTAAGGGGTGGGAAGGAACATGGCAGGGGAGGAGAGGTGTTAGCACACAGGTCTGTCCCAGCGGGGATCCTGGAGTCCCTTCCCACGGCTGACTGGCTTTTCCACCACCCCACCAGCGGAAGGCTCAGATCACCTGCACGGCCATCTTCATTGTGTGGGGTGTCCTGGTCCACCTGGTGATCCCACCCTTTGTGTTCATGGTGACAGAAGAATGGAACTACATTGAGGGCCTCTACTATTCCTTCATTACCATCTCCACCATTGGCTTTGGGGACTTTGTGGCCGGTGAGTCTCTGCCTCCTTCTCCTGACCTTTCTTTGCCACATCACTATCTTTAGTTGCAGTCTGAAGACTGACGTTTGGGGCACCTGAACCTGATAAGTGTCCACTCCTTAGTTGTTAGTCTTTTATCTCTCTCCTGCCCACTCCCCCCACCAAACTCACTCTCTTACCTGCAGAACTTGAGCATTTCCAGAGCTATAAATCCAAAACACACACACACACACACACACACACACACACACACACACCAGCTGAGCCAGGGTGGCTCCCAGACAAGGGAGGCCTTTTCCCCACCACCCTCCCCCCTCAGCCCTACACTCCTCCTTAGCTTAATCCCCACAGGCAATGAAGAGGTTCTTTGTCCCCTTTGTGTGAGGGCCTGCACTTGTCCCAGACACCCATGTATAGTGCCTTGTGCCTTGTGGCCTGCACAGTCTCCGGGTTCCTAATTTTCTTGAAATACTTTTGAACCAATGTCAGCCGGTGCCCTCCCTATTGACCTCCACTTCTGCTCCCAGAGGTCACTACGCCAGCTGCTTTGCCCAGAGGGCAGGTGGAGGTCATGCCTCTGCCCCTTTTTGTGTGGAATGCGGTGAGGGGGCAGTTGAGTGGGTGGAGGGAACGGGCCACTCTACGGTGAACACTCCTGACCCTGGCTTCCTAGGCTTTGCCTGCTGTCTGGACATAAATTTAGAGACACAACCCTACCATTGTTTTGTTCCAGAGCCTGCTGAGGAAAAGCCTGTGGTATCTTTAGCCATACTTCTGAGCTCCAGTGAAGACACCAGACACATCCTCCCATCTTTAGTGCCTGTAACACTAGCTGCACAGTTGAATCTGCTTCAGTTCCCTGGTGCTGAGGGTAGAAATAGCCTATGTGAGGCTGTGACTTCATCGCTGCCATTATCCAACTCTGCTTGTGATCAGGAACCCTGTGCAAGATTTCCTGCAGAGCAGCCAGGGGTTCGGGGTCCTGCTCCTGGCAGGCCCTTAGTCAGGGCTGGAGGTTGTCTCTTCCAGGCCCTTCACTTCCCATCTGGGAAGGCAGGATGAAGATCAAGGTAGCTGCAAATACAAAGTTACAAAGCCTATCCTTTAAAGTTACATTTATTTGTATGTAGGGAGGTGGTGGTACCTGTGGAGGTCAGGGAACAGTTTCCAAGGGTTGGTTCTCTCCTCTACCATGTGTGTCCTAGGGACCAAACTCAGGTCCTCAGGCAAGCACGACTACCCACTGAGCCATGTCACCTGACCATGAAGGGGATCTTAACTAATTCTAGAAGGGAGAAGAACCTCTAGAGCTGTGAGTTGAAGGTAGGAAAGACTTTCTGGAGCCTGTTGTCACAGAGGATCGTGCAGAATGGTGGAGCCACCCAGGCCAATCAATCAAAGAGCTACCCTGAAGAGGGCAGAGACAGGGAGGCAGACTCCGCCTTGGAGGAGGGTAAAGGCAGTTTAGAGTGGTTCTTGCCAGGTCAGTGCTTCCTGGGTCATCTTGACCCAACCACCAGCATCATTCCTAGTAAATCAGTCCCTCCCCAGTGCTGAGGCCGCTAGCACCCCCAATGTTGAGTTTCCATTCTGTTTTTCACTGAGCTGTGATGCCCTCACTGGCTGGGAGGAGCAGAGAAATGAACAGGAAGATGCGTGCTCATGAGATGGTTATTTAACCCCGAGAGCCCCTTTAACTAACTCCCCTCAACCCGGAAGTCGTCTCAGTTCTGACTTTTTGCGGTTGGAGAAACTGAGGCTCAGAGATGGGCTAGGCTGGAGCCACAGTCCTTCAGGAAGAAGATGGTGAGGTAGTCTAGGCTTTGTTCGTGTGTGGGCACAGGTGTTTAGAGTCAACCTCAGCTGTCGTTTGCTCAGAAGCCATCCAACCTTGGATTTTTAAGGCATAATCTCGGCTAGGCGTTGGTGGCGCATGCCTTCAATCCCAGCACTTGGGAGGCAGAGGCAGGTGGGTCTCTGTGAGTTCGAGGCCAGTCTGGTCTCTAGAGCGAGTGCCAGGATAGAGGCTCCAAAGCTACACAGAGAAACCCTGTCTCAAAAAAACAAAAACAAAACAAAACAAAACAAAAAAAGACGGAATCTCATTATCCTAGAGCCCATCTATTTTACTAGTTGATTGGTCAGTAAGTCCCAGGGCCCCACCTGTCTATCTTAAACTCTGGGATTATAGCTGTGTTCTATATACCTGGCCTTTTATGTGGGTTCTTTAAAAAAAAGGGGGGGGTTGCCTGCATGTATGTCTGTGTGTCTGATGCCTTCAGAGGCCAGAAGAGGATGACAGAGCCCCTGAAACTAGAGTTACAGATGGTTTTAAGCAGCTGTGATGGTGCTGGAAATCAAACGTGAGAACCAGCACTCTTAACTGTTGAGCCAGCCCTATAGCCCTTATGTGGATTTCGATGCTGAAGCTCAGGTCCCTGTCTTAGAAGCACCTCCTCCTTGGCTGTCTCCCTAGGTCCCTTCCTAGACACTGTGCTCTGCATGGTTTACTCAGGCAGCACAGTGTTGGCCATCGCTTTTGTAGGCCTCTGCTGACCCTCTGAGCTTCTGTCTTCACAGGTGTGAACCCCAGTGCCAACTACCATGCTCTGTACCGTTACTTTGTGGAGCTCTGGATCTACCTGGGGCTGGCCTGGCTGTCCCTCTTTGTCAACTGGAAGGTGAGCATGTTTGTGGAAGTGCACAAAGCCATTAAGAAGAGGCGGCGTCGGCGAAAGGAATCCTTTGAGAGCTCCCCACACTCCCGGAAGGCTCTGCAGATGGCTAGCAGTTCAGCCTCCAAAGATGTCAACATCTTCAGCTTCCTATCCAAAAAGGAGGAGACCTACAATGACCTCATCAAACAGATTGGGAAGAAGGCAATGAAAACAAGTGGGGGTGGGGAGAGGGTCCCAGGACCTGGGCATGGACTAGGAGCTCAAGGGGATGGACTGTCTAACATCCCTGCATCCCTGGTACCTTTGGTAGTCTATTCCAAGACTCGAGTGCCCAGCTTAGAAGAGGTATCTCAGACTCTAAGGAGCAAAGGACATGTGTCCAGACCAGTTGGTGCCGAGGCTGAGGTAAAGTACCCCAAAGATGGTTACCCAACCTCCGAAGTGTTTGTTAACCAGCTAGACCGTATCAGTGAGGAGGGTGAGCCATGGGAAGCCCTGGACTACCATCCGCTCATATTGCAAAATGCCAACATTACCTTTGAAAATGAGGAAACCGGCCTCTCAGATGAGGAGACCTCCAAGTCTTCCGTGGAGGACAACTTGGCCTCCAAGGAGCAGCCTCAACAGAGGACTGTGGCTGAGGTGCCCTTGAGCACAGGTGAATTCCCTTCATCAGATGAGTCCACCTTCACCAGCACCGAGTCAGAGCTCTCTGTTCCTTATGAGCAGCTGATGAATGAGTACAACAAGGCAGACAGCCCCAGAGGCACGTGAGGAGGGCCTGGCTCCCCACCTGCTCTCCAGTGGCTTCTTCCCTTCAACGGGGTTGTCCTGTGATGGCCAGACCCCTGGGGAGAGGGCCCTGGAAATGAGATGGGGAGCCAGGGACCTGCTTTTCTTTCTGTCTTCTCCAGCTGGTTGCTTCCATGGGATGTGAAGTCTGCCCAGGACAGGCCTCCATGCTATGGCCCCCATGGGGAGGCTGCTGTCCTGGGCCTGCCTGGCAGGTCTATTTACTGACTCGAGGCAATGTAGGCTGCAGCACTCACCCTGGAGGGCCTATGTCTGCTGCTTAAGTCTTCCCCCATTGTTCGGTTGACACGGTTTTCTGAGGCCAGGAGCTTCAGCTGAGTTCACCAGTATTAATGGGCAACTCCTGTGTGCCTGGCACTGAGCTAGGCATTTGGAAAAGGAGCCTGTAAGACCCAGGATTGTCATGTAGGAGTTCTCAAGGGTTCTGGGGGACTCAGATATGATGGCGTTTGGGGCACCTCAGGACCCATTTGCCCATCCATTCATTACTCTACCCAGAAAGCCCTTTACTGCAAACCTTGGGGCAGGGTGCAGGGGGAGGTAGAAGAGGGTGATTGTCCTTTGTGTGCCTCAGAGCCATGTCCCACCTCAGATTCCCTCTGCACAGCAACAGCAGGCCTAAGGCTTTCCATTCCCTGGGAATGCAGGGAAAAGATGGATGGTGATGGAAACTAGAACTCTGGGGATAGTCAGGGCCTGCAACATGAGGTGCAGGCCCCTTAGCCCCTGCCTGATGGAAGTCCCAGCCCCACCTTGGGCACCCACCCTCCCAACCCACCATCTCATTCCCTGGGGTTCCCTCGCTGCCCCTCCCCCTCACTCCTCTCTTAGCAGGGCCTATGGAGTGAGGCCACACTGTTCTTGGCTTATAGAACTGTGAATTGAGCTCCCCTCTCCAGCCACTGTGTGGTGGCAGTATGTGCAGGCACCAGTGAGCATGCATGTGTGCATTTTTGGCTGGGGAGAAAAGAAAATGTGAATCTTACTGGACCAGATGTTCCTGGTGAGGTCTGGAAACGAGCTGCTGTATAAGTCCTTGATGCTCTAACCTCCAACCAGTCCGCTCTGGCCTAAATGGTTTTTATTATTAATATTTTCTAATGAATTGTTCTTTTTATACCCAGAATCTGTCATTGGCTTCAGAGCCAATAAAGAACAGGGTCTCTGCAAGTGGAATGGATGTCTGTAGAGGGCACTCTGTTGTCCTCCCAAAAGCTTGTGCTTTTGTGGTAATGTTTAGCCAAGTTCTCATGCAGAGCTGGGGGAGCCGGGCAGGGGACACCACTGCAGATCACTGGGTGCTGGGCAGGAGACACGAGTTCCCAGTTCAGCTGATAACCTTCCTCAGCTCCTTCCCTTCCCGTGTACGTTCTGCCAAGGGGCATATAGGGCCAGAGCCCCCCCCCCCACACACACACACACATTATGACAGTGAGAGGTGTGTTTCCATACCTCCACCATTCTCTAAGCGGTTGTAGAGGCCACGCTGGCCTCAGGGTGGGAGGAACAGCCTGGCTCCTGTGAAAAGTGTCCTAAGCTGAATGTCCTGGAGCCACACTAACCACACTGTATGCATGTACTGGTGGTGAAGGCAGATGTAATTTATTTTAACATTTTTACAATAAAATACATGAACAAGCCCACTTGCTGTGTGGTGTGTGGGGCTGGGAGCAGGGATGGGTAAGAAGACTTGGGACAGGCTGATGTCAGAAGGATTGGGGTAGAGCCAGCCGAAGAGATGTGGAGATCAAGAAAGAGAACTCAAGCAAGAGCATTCAGGAGCAGGCAAATGAGATGTCCTTCTGACTTATCTGATGCTGACACAAAATAGTCTCCCCCAGAGCAATCTGAGGAAAAGTTATTTGGCTTAAACACTTCCAGGCCACAGTCCATCAAGAGAAGCTACGGCAAGAACCTGGAGGCAGGAACCATGGAAGAACATTTGCTGGCTTGATTGATGCCTCATTACAGGCATGCTTTGCTGGGTTTCTTGTGCAGCCCAGGACCATCTAGGGATAGCTCTACCCACAGTGGGTTGAACCCTCCTTCGTGAATTATAATCTAAACAATCTCCCACAGCTGTGCCCACAGGTCAATCTGAGCTAGGCCATTCCTCAATGAAGGCTCTCCTTTCAGATAGTGTCAAGTTGACAATTAAGGCTAATCAGGACAGGTGGGATGGTGGTGGCCAAGTCTGCCCCTCACTAGCTTTCAGATACCTTTCTATAGACTTTACATCTAACAAAGCATAAAGGAAAAGCCTTCACCTTGCAATGGTTCTATCCTAGAAGTGAATGGAGCATGAAACAGACAGGTGTCTGAGGCACAAAGTTGTGCAAACATTAGTAAGAATGGAGGGCTTGGCTCTGAACCCAGGCAGCACAGTTCCCGGCTATCCACAGCCATCCTGGTGGGATGAGATGACTAGGAGGTTTGTGGTGGATCTGACATCATTGGAAGGGCCTCCCATCACCAACTGGGTGAATCAGGACTTTTCCCCACTCAAGGAGTTTGGAAACAGAATATAACCAGGGCATGGGCACCCTGTATTTGTGTGCATGCCTGTGTGTGTGTGTGTGTGTGTGTGTGTGTGAGTGAGAGAGAGAGAGAGAGAGAGAGAGAGAGAGAGAGAGAGAGAGAGAGAGATTACTCACAGGTAGAAACAGTTGACTGCAGTTTGATTCCCAGAGTACACTTAAAAAGCTAAATGAGGTGGCTAGACTCCGACTCCAGTCCCAGCATCCCTTGAGTGAAATGGGAGTTGGAGATGGGAGAATCAGATGGAAGCTCCTGTGCATAAATGAGACTCTGCCTCAAAAGCTAGGGTGGAAGGAGAGAACTACCCTAGAAAAGCCCTGACCAACTTGTACATACATGCTCATGTTCATAAACACACACACACACACACACACACACACACACAAATCTTTTAAAAGAGATTTGTGGTGGCACACACTTTTAATTCCAGCACTCAGAGGCAGAGGTAGGCAGATCTCTGAGTTCCAAGTCCATCCTGGTCTACAGAGTGAGTTCCAGAATAGCCAAGGCTTCACAGAGAAACCCTGAACAAACAAACAATGTGCCTGGTATGGTCCCCCATACCTGCAATCTCAGTGCTCAGGAGGCCAAAGCAGGGGCATCCGGGAATGAACATCTTTGACAAGGACATGGTCCACTGATGCAGAAACTGCAGCACTTTAATCCATGGGGCCGGCCATTTTCCCAGCTACTGTGCCATTTCTATAAGGAACTTGTACAGTTGAATTGGGAATGCTTCCTATCTGCCTATCCATCCCCACCCCTGCACGCACGCACGCACGCACGCACTCACTCAGACATGTAGGTCCAAGGCTTTCTGCTTTCTAGTTTGACTTTGACCTTAAGATAACAGCATCATAAACACCAACAGCCTTTATTTAGCACAAGGTTGCTTTACAAACTCTTCTGACAGTTGCCATTTAAAACAGCATAGCCCTTCCCCAGCAGCACCAGTACTATGCACTAGAGTGGGGGCTCAGGGAGTGGCTTTCAGGGCCACAGCTGAAGCGGACACACTGTAGATTATCAACACACACTGAAGAGAGTCCGGCTCTGGTCTTCCTATGGCCAAACTTAACCTGGAGCTTTCTCAACAAGTAGAAAAGGCTGAACAGCAGCTACAGCAGAACCCTGAGCTCCCCAGCTTCCTGAGTGGTCATGGGCAGAGAAAGGGTATACTGCAGGGGTGAGGAATGGGGGGGGACAGTGAGCCGGCCTGAGGCTCAGAAGTCACTGGACACTCTGGCAGGGACCGCCCTCTTTGAAGCCATTTGATTATCCATAGCCTGGGCCAGTGTTCCAGATGAGTGAGACCGACAGACTCGGTGGAAATCATGGTGTCTCTCCTATTCCAGTAGGCTGCTCCTCCCAGCAGTGCTCTGCTGCCCCCAGAAGCTTTCCTGCCCTAGCATAAGATAGCTCCCTTCTCTCCGTCAGTATTGCTGTGCTCACTGTTCTGCAGCCATTGTTACCTGGTCACCTGCTCTGTGCTGGGTGAGGTACAAGCACTTTTGGTGCTGCTAGGTGGGACTGGCGAATGGTCTGGCATCCAGGGTGTGACAAAGGTGCTGGCCACTTTTCAGAGTGTGTGATAGGTATTGATACTCGTTTTAGTAGTTCCTAGTTTGTTTGGTTTTCCTGTTAGATTTATTTTCTAATTTTAAATTACATGTGTCTTGTGTTAGTATATGCATATGAGTGCAAGTGCTTGAGAAGGCCAGAAGAGGGCATCATATCCCTTGGAGCTGTAGTTGCATGTGGCTTTGAGTTGCCTGATGTGGGTGTGGGAATTGAGCTCAGGTCCTCTAGAAGAGCAGTACATGTTCTTAAGTCCTGAGCCTTCTCTCTAGCTCCTGGAATGTGTGTGTGTGTGTGTGTGTGTGTGTGTGTGTGAATGTGTGTGTGTGTGTGTGTGTGTGTGTGTGTGTGTGTGTGTGTGTGTGTGTGTGTGTGTGAGAGTGTGTGTGTGTGTGAGAGTGTGTGTGTGTGTGTGTGAGTGTGTACTTTGAAAATCTCATGCATGCATTCAATATATTTTGATTATATTTACTCTTTTATATATTACTCTATTATATTTACTCTAGGAATATTACCTTATTCCTCCCTCTAACTTTGCCCAGATTCATTTCTCACCCCCTCCCTACTTCATATTCTTACTTTAAAAAAAAAACAAAACAAAACCCATTGAGTCCAATTTGTACACATGGGTGGGAAGCCACCCACTGGAGTACAGTGGACCTACCAGGGGCCACACTTTTAAAGAAAACTAATTTTGCTTCCCCTTGTAGTCAGCTCCTTAGTTAGAGATGGGGGCTGGAGAGTCCCTCCCCCATCCACGATGGAATGTTGATCGGGTTGATCTTGTGTGGGTCTTATGCAGGCAACCATGTTGCTGAGTTCATGTATGCAGTGGTCCTGTTGTGTCGAAAAAACAGTTTGCCCCAGTTCTCTCTGACCTCTGGCTCTTAAAATCTTCCTGCCCCCTCTTCCACAATGTTCCCTGAGCCTTGGGGTAGGAGTGATGCTACAGATGTCCCATTTGTGGCTGAGCACCCCACAGACGCTTGTTCTCTGAACTTGACTGGTTGTGAGTTTTTGCATTAACCACCATCCACTGTGTTAGAAAGCTTTAAGATCTCTTTTATCTATGCCTTTTAAGCCTAACGTATTATTAACTTCATTTTACAAATGAAGAAGCTGAAGAAAGTAATTTTCCCCAAGTTCAAACAGCTATGAGGTGGCAGAAAACACCTGCCCAGACTTGCATTCCTGTCCCTCACACCACCCTCTGGCAGTTCCTAATCTGATAAGGAAGACAAGACACTCTCAAAATCTGATGGAGGTGGCTGAGGCTCTGACTTTCAAGGAGTCTGCAATCTGAGGGGCTGAGGAGGCTAGAAATGCCAAAACCAACACACATACTCTCTGTCTCAGCTGTCTCTCTGCCTTCCTGTGAGACCCCAGAGGAGTCATCATGCCATGGTGCAGGAGGAGAAAACACCTGCTTGGGTGTCACCTCATTCTGGAAAAGCCCTGGCAAGGGCCGGGATTGCTTGGGAAGTTTCTGAAACCTAGGGTAGAGTCTGGGAAGGCAGTGGGCAGGTTGGGCAGATTGCCCAAGGATCAGTCTCTGGTAAAGACAACCTCTCTTTGGGGGACCCCTGAGGTTTGGTCTCAACCCTGCCCAAGTGCTCTCCATGTTTGAATAGCAAGTTCCTGACTTAAACTAACAAACCAAGCATTTATTTGGGGAGGAGGCAACCACATTGTCCTTGTAGGAATCACAGAACAACATACAGGACACAGATATCTCCTTTTATTAAGTGTGTTCTGGGGAATCAAACTCAGGGCATTAGGCTTGACAGCAAGTGCCTTTACCTGCTGAGCGGTCTTGCTCAGAGACCCAATTTTGAAAGCCAGGTACAACTGACCTGGGACCCAGGTCTAGCTAGTCTATGACTCTCCAGGGTGTTCATGTTATTCATAACCCACTTCTTCACCTGCCTCTTCTTTCTTGGATTTGTCCTCTGTAAGCTCTCCATAGCCACTAGTTCGCCCTCCCTAGTCTGTGCTGGGTGTCTGTGCCTGTGTGGTGGTGTCCCCTCAGGAAACCACCTCTGTTCAAACTGCTGTGGCCTGTTCAAGTTCCCTCTCTCCTACTCTTGTGCCCTCCCCCTGGCAGAGAGCCACTTACTTTGAAGAGCAAGGAATTTATTACTCATGTATACATTCCCACCAGGGCCTGGCTAGATGGAAATGGGTGCTGCTTTCTGGTGTTTGGAAAATTCAGGGTGAATGTCCTCCAAGCTCCAGCCTTATCATCAGCAATTTTGTCCCTCTGTTCATGGGGCAGAGGCCAAAGCAGGGGCAAAGCTTGTTCCACGAGGGCAAGTCCCAACAAAGCCAGGTGGATGAACTTGAGGGACCTTGTGGCAGGCTGAGGTGGCCTGATGACTCACCTCATCTTAGGCCAAGTCACCTGAGTAGAGGGCAGGACCAGTACACACCATACCTGACTTCTCTCCGCCTGAGAGCACTGTGGCTACAAACCACCTTTTTGCATCTTCCCGTCTTTGCTTCCTGGTGTTTCCAGATGATGGGAGCA